CACTCTTCCGCACAATTCCCAAAGGCGGGACGTGCTCTGGCTCTAGGGGGGGGGGCCAGATCTATGAGCACAGCGGCACCGTTCTGGTTTTCAATAATTTTTGATTACTGGAAATCAAACGGGTGGCTAAAGTTCGATAACATGAAAAACCAGCAAGCAGCTGGTGAATGCGCAGATAGCACAGGTTCGCTGTTTAGTATTTATGTTACCTGTTACGGACCAGATGCGAGTTCCTGACGTCACCTACTCTTTTGATGACGTTTCTTGAGACGTCATCTAACATATGATCTTACTACTTGTTAGATGACGCGTCGTCTTCTCGCTCCTAGCAGGTAACGGACCTATGCTATGTCTGCGTCCCTGCACGACTTGTCCACTCCGTTGCTTCACGTGGGGGAAATGTGCAGCTAGTTGTCATCTTACCTCAGATCGTTGTTTCGTCAGAGATGCGGCAATGGAGTTCGAAGATGGAAGATCATCAACGGATCCTTCAGTGTCTGATGCGGAAGCTAAAGATAAAAAGATAGATTTGAGCATACGAACAGTCTGTTTCGCAGTAATCAATTTATTGAGCTTTTTAAAGTTCTCACCGGAAGGAGCGCCTGGTTCCTGTGAGGAACGAGACGGGGGTGGTGGAATGTCTGAGAGAGTTCCAGCAGAGCTTATTCCGCCACCGCCTCCTTCTGGGTATGGACCTCCGCCACCGCCGGCTGAGTATGGAGCTGCACCACCACCAGCTGGGTAGGGGCCTCCACCAGCGCCACCCAGTGAGTATGGAGGCGCACCGCCGCCCACTGAGTATGGAGGTGCACCTCCTCCTGCTGGATATGGACCTCCGCCACCGCCGGCTGCGTAGCCTCCTCCACCTGAATATAGAGAGTAATCACTTAAGTAGTCAGTCATCTCAAAACATCAATAGGCACTCACCGCCTCCGTAGTATTGAGGTGCAGCATAACTGGCAGCGTATCCACTGCTTGGCGATGCATAGCTACCACCGGAAGACGTTGCATATCCTCCTCCGCCTCCTCCTCCTCCTCCTCCTCCTCCTCCTC